CGGCCAGTAGCGGTAGGGCCCATGACTCATTACTGGGATGTACGGATGAGCGTAGGGCCATGTTGGTGTGTCGTGTGATTGCTGGGAGGGTGAAGCGCGTGGCGGAGGATGCTCCGCCGCCTGAGGAGGATGGTGCGTCGTCAGCTGCTGCTGGCTCATATGATTCTGTAGCCGGGTATGCTGGGATTTACTCGAATCTCGAGGAGTTATCAGTGTTCAATCCGAGGGCTATATTGCCTTGTTTTGTTGTCATTTACAAGGCTTTCGAGTCTTAGATTATTTCTTTGAGCTCGTTGTCTTGTTGTTTTCCCCAAGTAGTTTCCCTTCTCATGCTCAAAACCTATTATACCTCAAGCAACGGTTAGCGTAACGCTGCTAACCTCTGCAGGTATTTGTGTATATAAGCCATGACCCGAAAACTTCAGATTGGAGAGATTATTCACTATATTTCTTTTTCCGGATAACAGTATCTTCCATACAGTTTTCGTCGAGTTAAGCCCCATTGCTCCGCAAAAAGTCCTTCGATATCCTAACCTCTTTAAAAAAATGTTGCAATACCACGGAATTAGAATGGATGCTTCATGCTAAAAGTTCAAACCAAATGATGGTTACCTGGAAGGATGCTGAATTCAGACTTCATGTCGTGAGCATCTGCCTCGAGGAAAATAGAATATATCTGCGTGAGTGTTTATCATTCCTGTATCTTAGTTAATTGGGCTGGCATCTTCAAACTGCTGGCGAGCTTCAATAAATTTATTTAATAAGGATGCTGAAATCATATATTGCAATTTGATCATGTGGTGTTCAATCAGGAGAAGCAACAACAATTTTTTTTATTCCGTTTGGCATCGTGGTTTCCATGTACTTTTATATTTATTCTAACTCCAATTTTATTTTTTTTCATTTTAACTTTTTTTGTAAAAACTGTTTTTTCAGATTACAACCACAGATAAAATAAAACATCGGCACAAACAAACACACACACACAGGAGTTGGAAACAGATTCATTGAAGTGTCACCTTCAAATGGACGCCTTTAATTGTCTAAATAGCTCACCCAAATCTCTTTATATGCAGGTGGGTCTCTTCTCCTATGATTTTATTCGAGATATTTACAGTAACTTGTCATGAGAAACAAAATTAAAGTCTTAAAGGGTGATTAATTAGGTGTGAATTATTTCAGAATGGATGGATTAGCGCAATCTTTTCATTCTTTCAATTAAGTGACATCCTCCCATATGGGTTCTTGAGGAGAGTAGTGGACCAAAATTATGAAGGGCCACGTGAAATTATCTTGAAATAATTGTTAGATGAGATGAAAAGTGGTGGGAAGGGAGGGTATTCTTTGACCTTGACCAATCAATAATAGCCAAGAGAAGACTTCTGCGTACTGGCATTATATAACACACACAGTGACTCGATTATAATTGCCTACACATGCTTGAGCATATGCGCATTCATTGTTTCTCGTTGTTTGCAGTGCTTGGATCTTGCAGGAGGTGATTAGAATATGGGAATAATGAAGGTCGTGGCATGGTGTGTTTAAATCGAATGGGAGTTTCCTAGAATCATGATCAATGTAATCCCCAGTGAGATTACTGAAAACTTAGCACACAAATCAATATAATAATTTAAGTGATGAGGGTCCATATATATTCTTGTCTTGTGTGAAAGACAGACCAGCTAATCTTGCCTGCATCGGCTCGTAGCTAAGATTCGAGGGTTGTGAGCAGTAGCACGCGTTGACAGGTTGATGATTAGCCATTGATCTTAGATCGAGGCTTGGCCTTGCAGTACAGAACCTTTGGCTAGCAAACCAAGTAAAAAAAAAACTCTCTTTCCCCTGATCGCGGGTCTTAATCGTGTTTATCTAATTAACTCTTGATAGCTTAATGTAAGTGTTTTTTTGGTTTGACACTTGCTTGGTCTCAGTTATAAAATTAAATTAATTATGAGTTACGAATTTATTAGCATGCATCTGTTATCATGGTGTCTTTTCTAATTAGCTGTGACCTTAAATGATTTTGTTTTTCAATTTTAAAAATCTTCTAAAATGTAGCATCTTAAAGGCACGCTTATCCACATGGCCAACAATATTTTAATTAAATTGCGGTCTGCCATGGAAAAAAACATAAAAATTCAATTGCAGTATGAAAAATACAGTTGACCGTGTAGCCAAATACACACTAAACGTGGATTATTTTGCTTAATATCCTGTCAAAAAAAGATAAATTTGGAAATAATAAGATAAAAGGAGGTGATGTTACTGGTATTATCTTAACTTGGTTTGATATGTAAAATTTTATTTCAGAATAGTATTATTATTATTATTATCAGATGAAAACATTTAGATGCAAGATATTACTGTGCTGATTTTTGCTGGTTTGGTTGAGCAGACATAAATGCGCAATGCCATAGCGGGTGATCCAAATACCACAAGCTCAAGTTTCATGGGGACTGTCTCGTGCTTGCTAGCAAGGATCAAGAGAGGTGGAAAGGGTCCAAAACATGCATACAAAACTAAACAAGAAAGAAAAGGTGAGCAGAAGGCTCATAATATCAAGAAATTACTGGATCACTGAGAGATCCCACCAGCCCAGAACCGTTATCCTATCCATTAAAAACGAGTGCTGTAATTTTTTATCGTGCCTAAAAGGGATCAAATTTACTCTGTTTCCAGATAGGGAAGAACTTCCAACCCAATTAACACCTTTTTTTTTTTTTATTTGAAAAAACATAAAAACATATTTTATAAGTTTAGATAAATAAGTAAAATCTCAATTATTCTAAACTTTTATAAGAAATATATATTCTTTAAAACTTGCTATACAAATCTTCGTTATATGTTATTACATCACGTCCCTGGTACGTTGAAGGGAAGAGAATTGCTGCTGAATATTCTTAGAAAGGACGTTGAAGGGGAGAGAACTGAAAGTGAAATCATGGGACATATACTTGCCTTTACAAGGAGGAAATGTGCTAGATATATGTCTTTCTATTCCCCTACAGCCTCTTTAAAGATATGATGCATATCAGAATCTATCTTTTATTGGCATGTCTTAAGCTTTATTTGTAGAGGTTTCGGCTCTAAATCTCTGTTTGTTTACTTTGTGGTATGCTATGAGTTTTGTCTTTAAAAATATATAGTTAATCAACAAATATCGTAGTCTTATATGAGTTTTACTCTTTCTTAAAATCTTTATCAAGAAAAAATTATAATTTTTATTTTTTAAAAAAAATATTATTATTTTTTAAGCCGGAACACCAGGAGTTATTACAGTGACAAACTCATCACACTCACGCAACTGCTGTGTTCTAGGATTCCTGTTTGGAAATTCCTTTCGTATTGCCTCCCGATAAGATGTTTGGGGATCCTCTATGTCAATAGATTTGTTTTATGGGCTTTCAGCCTCATAAACCTAAGGCCTTCTAACAGGCCCAACGTTGTAAGGTTCAGTTATTACCCTACCAAAATGGCCCATAAAAGCCCAGTTTCTAAGCCTAGTTTGTAGACTTTTTAAGCAAATTTCACTATTCTATTGAGGAAGAACTTTCGAGTGTTTTGCATGATTAAGAAAAAGTTGTTGATTATCCTGTTAAACCTATCATGGCTACTTAATTAAATTTTAATGTGAAAGGTGGTTAACTACAGACCTCATTATTGTCCCACCACTTAGATTATAGAAGAAAGTACAAGACACAATCATAGTTGTCTTGCAAAATCATCATCTCAAGCCCTCCACTCTTAATGATATCATTGAACAGACTCTTTTAATCTCATCATACATGTTTTGTTCCTTTCAATTTTAAAATTAGTATACTTTTATGTTTTAAAATTATTTTTTAGATAATTATTTTTTTAATTTAATTTTTTTTAGTATTATCAGATAATTTTAGTGCTGTGATATCAAAAATAAATTTTAAAAATAAAAAAAATATTATTTTAATATATTTTTTAAATAAACCTAATACTTAAAACCAAATGCTCTTCATCTTTTCAATTGAGCTTTTTTATCTACTTTTTTTGCCTTTCATTTCCTCTGGCCGCTTTTGTCATTGGTCTCTTGACAGATGCATGCACAATCAAGCCAAGCTTTGGATTTCATGATGTACGGACCACAAGACCAGTGAACTTCAAATATGAAATACGAAACTGTTTTTTTAAATATCTCTTAAATTATTTTGTTGTTTTTTAATATATTGATATCAAAAAATTAAAAAGATATATTTTCAAATAAAAAATATTTTTAAAAAACAGTATACACCATTTTATCAAATACACTATTCTTTGCTTGGATTAGAATTGAATTATCACAAGTTCAGCTTTTGCTCATTCCCAATCAGCGGTGAATGATCAATAGGTTGGTAGTTAATTACGAAGCCCTTCATTGAATGAACAGTAAAAGTCTTGCCATCTCTCAAGTCAAGGGTCATTTTAGTTTCACATCACGACATTAATCAAATGCATTTCCATGGTTCAATCTATTTATATTCTATCGATTAATAAATCTAGATATTTATACTTATTCATAAGATTTCAAATATTTATATAGATATTTATTACTCAATAATTACTTATCATCAAATATATATATATATATATATATATATTAAATCTAAGTTGGATTTAAGAATGAATTTGATGATATTCATAACTTATTTATTATTCTTTAAATAAGATGATTATAAAAAAAAATTCTATCTAATTAGATCCGTATCTATCATGTTAATGCTATGCTAGTCTATCAATTCAGTAAATATTTTTTTAAAAAGAAATGAAATTGATTAATTATGAAACAAAGAAGGCCACGCCCATCATTCACCATGGCTTTTACTCTTCGTTTCAAGAAACCCCATGATACAAAATTACAGATTGGTTTCTTTTGAATGGATCACAAGGAGACAAGACACATTTGATCCTTCTGCTGTGCTGTGAATTCGAGCCATTAATTTACCTCGTTCGAATCAGTAATCATTTACTACTCCCCCCCACCCACTATCCTGACGAGTTGAAGCCGAAACCACGAATCAAATTATTCTTTTTTGATGGAAATAGTTAAAACCATGAACCATCCGAGCTTTTTAGGTAATGGGAAGAGCAATCATGTTCATGAGATATCTCTCTAAAAGATCGTTTGACTGTTACATCATTGGTGTTGGTGTTTGAATGCTCGAGTTCTTAAATTTATTCTAACTCTTGGGTTTTAACTTATGAATGCCAGTAACTTTCTTTCTTTCTACGTGACTACTGGCCCTCGTTCAGTTACTAATGTAAGCTAATCATTAATATTAAATTCACCAAAAACGAGTTGATTTAAGAACTCACTTAGAGTTTTTGTATGCATGAATTCTTTGTTCGCATAGAATTGTTCTCTTAAAAAAAATCAAAATCTCATGTATTTAATAAGTGAATGTCATAATTGGATTTTTTTGGTAAATGATGAATATATACACACTACTTTTAATTTTTATGGGATATTCTTCCATTGATCAAAACTTACCTTCTTCATCTAATTAAACTCATGGGTCCACCATCTGGTTTGAGAACATCATTAAAAGCTAGGCAAGTGCCTTTGAAGTTTTCTTAAACCGCTTTAATCAGTTGAAGATAATCAAGAACAAACCCTAATAAACAATAACAACTTTAATTTGTCAGGACAAGTGAAGCCCATACAAATGATTTGGGCACATGCTACCTCTTTTCCCTCTCCTGCAATATGCTCTCTTTGAGCCTTCCCAAATAGAATAAACCCAGTGTTTGGAACCCTTCCCTCTTTTTATATCCTTACACCCAAACGACATACATGATTTGATTACACTTCCCGGAGGTATCTGTCAAGCCAAGAGAAAAGAGAATTAATACCATGCACAAGCCTCAAAGAGACAGCTTTGTCATACAAGTAAGAGGCAGTAGTATTTATTCTGAAGCCCTTAGTGACCAGGCCCCTCAAGCTAGTAAGTTTAATTTCTCTGCCATGAAGCTTTTCAATCGCTTCAGGAAAATTCTCATGCGACTCGTGTTTTCGAGTCCAACTACGTCAAGCATGGCTTCAAAGCAAAGAAGTTGTGAGAGATTTGATCCACCAAAGACTTCATGTAGCTCTTACTACTCGTCTAACTCACATTATAGTGAGGCTATTGCTGATTGCATTGAGTTCTTCAACAAGTCATCTCAGGAAGGGATTTTAGATGGTCGAAAATCTGATGTTTGGGTTTGATTATGTTTCATGATGATTACTTTAATCACTTTCTTGCTTGGATTTTATTTGTTCTTCCTTTGATATATAATATACACGGTGGATACAAGAGTTAGGCATGCTGTTCTTGTTGGTTCTGTCAAGCACTTCTCTTCCCTGTTCTTTGTGGGCAACGTTTTGATGGTTGTGCTATGTTGTAAATCAATAATTTTGAGCTTGATATGGAGAATTTCCTTTTCTTTTTCTTTCTTGTTTCTTTTTTCCCTAAATGGGATTCAGTTTATGGCCCAGATCTTTGTCTGAACACTGCATATCTAGCAAAGCCGTCTCTAAGGGGATTCCTGGCTCAGTAATGCATAGTCCAAAGTGTCCGTAAGGGCGTAAAGACCCTGAGATGCTTTAGCTCAACAACTATCAGAAAATGGGCCAAATGTGGCCCGTGACTCGTCTAAGATTTGTCTGCATACAGTAAAAGGTAGCTCTTCCTCTTCCATCGTCATTGCATAATCTCTCCCGTAGCTTGTGTGAACCAGCTAGCAAGCACCCACTTCTGATTCTTTTTTTAATCTACTGATACAATACTGTAGATATGTTTTGAAACTTCTTTTTTTTTTAATGTAAATTTAAGATCCATTTAAGTTCACAATTCAAGAAGTAACAAAAACATAATGATTTGAACGTATTTTTATTACATAGACCTCGCAACCTTTTCAAACATCCATTTGCAAGTCAACTTCAGCTACAATGGAAAGGGACAGAAAAGGATTGTATGAAAACTTTGGGGACTGGATTATCATTATTTTTGGAGCTGAAAGCATGTTAATTAAGGATGTGCTTATGCTGCAACTCATGGAGACGAGCTTCATTTTCCGAATTTCTTAGAGAAAATCCCTCCTATTAGAGGGATCAAAGGCTTCTTCTTCTTTTTCCTTAGAGAAGGGTGCCTCTCTAGAGCTTCAACTCCTTGTGGCATTAGAACTTGTGTCAAGGAAGGCGGATTAGCAAATGTCACATATCTCTTGTTTTGAAACTGTGTCCCTTCTTCATTCGATGTCTGCATTTTGACTTCAAATTTTGTTGTGTCTTCAACAACCTTGACAACTTCAATTTCAGATTCTGTCAGTTGCCTTTCGACTTCACGTTCCTTCAATTGTTGAAGCTCTCTCCTTGTTCTCTCAAGCTCTTCTTGAAGCGAAGAAAGGCAGTTTGCCATTAGCGTCCTTTGTTCTTTGGCTTTTTCGAGACTTTGTTTCGTCTCCTTCAGCTCTGCTGTGACTGTTCCAAGCCTGGAAGTGCCCTGCCCATATTCAATTCCTCCAACGTGCATCTACTCAAACAAAACAAAAAATGAACATTAACAATTAATTATTAATCAATTAGAGCAACTCTAATAGAATCCATCCATCACCAGTGTCAAAGATGTCGTCACCAATGGAGCCTTGGCTCGATCGAGATCTTCTTAGGTTCGAGAACCTATATGATGCTTTGCTTACCGCCCTCTCCAAGTGGACCTAAAGTGGCCATAGCCTATTCTATGACAAGGTCGCATGCAGGATGAGTTGGCTTCTCCTCGTCAAAAGCAATAGAGATTGATTCTTAAAGCTCTAAATAAATCCTACTAAATAATAAAATAATATCGCTATTGTTTATCAATTGGAAAAAACATTCAGTATATTTTTAACTTTATCCTATCACATGACACGGAATAATAGTCTTAAATTCCGTCACAAGCAAGCATAATAACACTGATCAAGTGAATGATAATTAACGAAATGTTAATAACCTCGTCATTAATTACAATGAAAACATTATAGTGATCTTCTCCATCTGCTCTAGCCCCATGACAATGTCAGTGTGTGTTCACTTTTACAGATGTTAAGGGAGAAAATTGAAAGGAAAACAGGCAAGTCTCCCACAAGTAACAACTAGTTCCATACAGGAACATAGGAGCAACACAATAATGTGATAGAATCAAGAAACAAAAGCTAACCTCTTTGAGCTTATTGGCATAGAGCTCCTCAGCTAAAACTTTCTCCCCGAACAATGTGACGGCCTCTTTAACTGACCTGAAGGGTGCTCGAGTATCAATCTCAGCCCTTTTGAGTACGATCACTCCTTCTTCACCTTCCATGTTCTATATGTGCCTTATTGTAAGGGAGAAATTAAGAGATTAGAGCTAGAGATCAGATATTTCTGGGTTGAAGGAGAGATGGGAACCAGGATGCAGTTTAATCTAAAGAAAAAGATAGAGATAGAGACAGGGACAGGTTGGTTACAAGTAGCTAGAAGTGAATCTTGATTAGGGGAGACAATAATGTATGATAGGTATATGTCTTGCAGGGGAGCTTCTTTTCTTCGCGTCCACTTCACTAGAATTCTTCTACTTCTGTTAATACTATTTTCAAGCGTGAAGGCGGTGGTTGGATGGACTTTTCCTCAGTGGCGTCTGAGTAGCCCATGTTGATTCGGCAGAGGAGAGGGACTCTTCACCAAGAGCCAACGTTTCAAATGGGGCAATGCGTGTGTGTTAGGTGTTCCACGATCCACATTCTAATCCATAATTGTATCAAGTTATCAACTAAAGCCCAAATATAGCCACATTAACTCTAACCCATGATTATGGGTCCTAATTTGGACTCTCAAGCTTGTACATATGTTGTGCCTCTTGTTTTTTAATTGTTATTTAAAAACAATATTATTAATATCAGCATATTAAAATTATTAAAAAAAATTAAAACATATTAATTTGATATTTAAAAAAATAATAATTTAAAATGCAGAAAAAACTATAACTCCAAGCAGACACAAAATCACTATAACAGCAATATAAAGGAAAACTAACCATGTAACATTGTTTAATAAGGAATAAAATCATTTTCAATTTCCTCAAACTCTTAAATGTTTTTAGAGAAGTGCTTTGGCAATCCCAATACTGTAAGAAACCTCGTATTAAATCTTTCTTCGTATTATTTATTTATAACTTGGTGACTCTATTAGTTTTTTTTTATGATAATCTAATTGTTTTTCTTAAATCACCCTTCAATTCTAATCAAGATTTAATTCCTATATGCTTGAAATAAAAATAAAAAGTGCATTTGACAGGTTAATTTGGATATTTAAAAAATTAAATTAGCACTACTTAAGGGACTAACATAAAATATCATAAAAAGAAAATGAACTCAGTTATAATTTACCTAATTCTAAATGGTCTCTTAGCCCATAGTTCACCCATCAAGATTGTTAAATGTCCCGAGTCAATTTACGCTGTCATCATCCTATGTTACCACTGAAATTGCCATACGACCAATCTATAACATGTGTGGTGGGCACTGGAAAATCCTTATTATCGGTGTGGATTAATTTTTAACAGGCCCACTGATAAGGGCAGGCCCGACATTCGACATGATTCATCACCAGTTCTAACTTCTAATGCAAGTTGTCCGCAAGGAATTTCCCAGTGCCAGGCCCATAGCAAAATTACCGGGAGTCCATGATATGCTGCCTGATGAAGGCTCGTCTGAACATCTAATGCATGTCCATCTTGATCAGTCTGAAATCTACATGAGATTTAACTGATGTCTTTAGAATTTCGAGTAATTATGTCCATTTTAATGTCCTTGTAAAATCAAAATCTAAATTTGATGACTTATTGAAGATTTGATCCCTAGTCGACTCTGTGATTAGGGAGGTGTTTCTAGAAATGCAATCATATTCAATTTTAAAATAGTGTTGTTTAAATACTTTTTCTAAATAAAACGAAATTATCTTGGATAAAAATAAAAAATGAAATTGATAATCGTCTTGAATAATCTATTTGTTCTAAAAATAAGGTGCAAAACCGCTTATACAGTGGCTAAATTGATACAAGTTAATTAAAATTTTAAAACCTAACTAGAAAGAAAATAAAAAATATAATAATAAAATTTTAACCTGATCCAATAATAAAATAAAAGATTATGAACAATTTGATTAGAAAAATCGTTTTTCTTACAAGAAATTCTTGGCATAATTCCTTGTCACCGCAACCTGTGTTTTGGAGGCAGTGAGCTGCACAATGCAGTATACAACATGCCAAGGAAAGCTAAAACATCTGAAGAGGACTCTCCAAAGGAGAACAAGGCACAGATGTTGTGTCAACATCGTCTTGTCCGCCCATTCCCCAACCTTGTCCACTCCACCAAACCTGTATCCTCTAGCTAACATCGTTGCATAAAAAATAACTAAACTAAAAAATAAAAAAATAAAAAGAAGGAAAAACCACCGAAATAAACTATAGTGTAACGACCGTGGTTGTCAAACTAGAAGAGAAACCGTTAACGGATTATTTTTATTTTTATTTTTTAAAAATTAAGTATTTTATTATTAATAATAAATCATGAAACCTAACTGTGGAAACCTTCCCGTCAAGAAATAAAAGAGAGAAAACAACACTCACTGTTCGCTATGCTTTCTGTGTCCCTGTCCCTGTCTCGGCCTCACATTTTTCTTTTTCTTTGTTTCTCTTTCTTCACGTTCTTTGATCTTACTGTCCACCCAAAATGTCGGTTACCGCAACCACTTCACCGGCCGTTGGAACACTTTACGTTTCCCCTTCTCCTAGGAGCAGGGGCATGCCTCGAGTAACGATGACTCTCCGATCTGTTGTTTCAGTAGGCTCGATCTTGACTAAGTTACAGCAAGACTGTGCGACTCCTTTACCGGTCATTCGCCACGTGGCGGATTCCATGACTGCTGACATGCGAGCTGGGCTTGCTGTTGATGGTGGCAGCAATCTCAAGATGATACTCAGCTATGTTGATAGCTTGCCTAGCGGGTATTTCCAAAGTTAAAGCTTAATGTTAATGTTTTTTGCTTTATTTAGTTTACTTTTTGTTAATTTTCTTCGTATGGAATGTATTTATATCTTATTCATGGAGCAAGCTAGGAAAATATTAAATTTCCAGTCACTTGATACAGTAGTTGTTAGGTAGCTTGAAATCCATACCCAGAAACAGAGATGCCTACTAGAATTAAATTTTATATAATTCATTGTTTCTTTGTTTGAAAGAAATGAGAAGGGATTGTTTTATGCATTGGATCTTGGGGGCACAAATTTTCGGGCGCTGAGGGTGCAGTTAGGTGGGAAAGAAGAGAGAGTTGTTGCCACGGAATTTGAGCAATTATCGATTCCTCAAGAGCTTATGTTTGGTACATCTGAGGTCTGTTTTTGCACAATTTAAGTCTGCCAACACATTTGTTTATGCATTCCTTTTAATTGTTTTGTGTCTTGATACAGGAGCTTTTCGATTTTATTGCATCCACACTGGCCGGATTTGCAGAAAAGGAGAGCAAGAAATTTCACCTGCCGCATGGAAGGCAAAGGGAAATTGGGTTCACATTTTCTTTCCCTGTGAAGCAGACATCCATTGACTCTGGCATATTAATGAAGTGGACCAAGGGTTTTGCAGTCTCCGGAACGGTTTGTAACTCTGTATCCTTTAATTGTGTATACAAGAAATATTCTTCATAAGATTTTCGTGTCTCAACAATTCTTTTCTTATTTCAAAAGCGTTTATTTTGAACTTATTTGATAGAATCTAAAGTAGAAGGATGTTTGTGTCAATAACTCATTTGTCGTATAGATAAAAAAAGTTTCACTTGTCCAATAAGCCTTCTATCAACTGGATTGTTGCAAACTGTCCCAGTTTAACCTACGTGCTTGTCTTCAAGTTCATTAGTTAGCTACAAACATAAACTTCCACTCTCATGTCTGGGCACTTGCACTGTGAAGTAGTATCTTGCGTTAGATCAGTTCTTTGTTTTACTGCATGAAGTGAACTCACTAATTCAAATTGAGTAACCTGGCATGCCACGGTCTTTACAGGCAGGGCGAGATGTCGTTGCTTGTCTGAATGAAGCTATGGAAAGACAAGGATTGGATATGCGTGTGTCTGCCCTGGTATGTTGTGCTCATTCCAGCATCCTCCAGGATAAAGTTTATGGCTTGATGAAATAATCTTTTTATTATAAATTGATGCCAATTAATTAGGTTAACGATACTGTGGGAACTTTAGCGGGAGCAAGATACTGGGATGATGATGTCATGGTTGCTGTTATTTTGGGTACTGGAACTAATGCATGCTATGTAGAACGGACGGATTGCATTCCAAAACTACAGGGACCTCAGTCTTCTTCTGGAAGAACGGTGCGGAAATTTTCCCTCTACCTCTTCTTCCTTCCCCTCCATCTCTTCGTATTTCTCTCATTTGAGGTTCTAAAAACATGATCTTAATTTGAATCCTTAATTAGATGACATTCCCTTGCCTCAGATTATTAACACAGAATGGGGAGCGTTTTCAGATGGTATTCCTTTGACTGTGTTTGATAGAGATATGGATGCAGCTAGTATCAATCCTGGTGAGCAGGTAACTTTAGTTTTCTGTGTCACGGTCAACTATGTATATATGCCGTCATAATTGGTTAAAATTCAAAATAACTTATGCTTGGACAGATATTTGAGAAGACAATCTCTGGTATGTATCTAGGAGAAATTGCACGGCGAGCTCTAGTCACAATGGCTGGAGAAGGTTCTTTGTTTGGCAGGGCTGTCCCGAATAAACTATCCACACCTTTTGCACTCCGGTAACTACATCTTGAAATTTCCTCCATTGTAATTATAGAGTTTAAAGGTTCAAAAACTTACCATGAGTCACAGTAATACACTGTTACTGTCTGGTCCAGTTATATACTTACATGCGATTAGCCCAATGTATTCCTGCATGCTGAAGCATGTTCTCAAATGTATTGTAGGACACCAGATATATGCGCAATGCAGCAAGACAATTCAGATGATCTTCAAGCCGTTGGTTCAATTCTACATAATGTAGCTGGGGTAACATATACTACTCTGCCACTACTCTGATATTCACCCTTCTGACAAAATTGAGCGTAAACACAGAATTTGCTTCCAGTGTGTGGATGCTCACGCTATCAATCAAGTGGGGTGATATTCAAAAAACAATTAATTAGTAACCTCTAGAGGTGCATTGTGCGTACGCCATGCTACTTAGTAGTCCTGCTTTTTATACAGTGTATTTGAACTAATGCCAATTGTTAACATCTGAAGCGTGCATATCTGAACTTATCTGTTCTTCTTGCTCAATCACTATTTTATTTAATCCCTTTTCAAGTTCAGATTGAATCCAGCTTAAGTGCAAGGAAGATTGTATTAGAGGTTTGCGATGCCCTTGTAAAGAGAGGTGGACGCTTGGCAGGTGCAGGAATTGTTGGGATTCTTCAAAAAATGGAAGAAGATTCAAGAGGTACCATCTTCAATAAAAGAACAGTGGTTGCCATGGACGGTGGATTATATGAGCACTACCCTCAGTACAGAAGTTACCTTCAAGATGCTGTCACCGAGCTTCTGGGATCAGAAATTTCAAAAAACATAGTCATAGAACATTCAAAGGATGGATCTGGTATTGGAGCAGCTCTCCTAGCAGCCACAAACTCCAAGTATGATCATGATTTTTAGGTCAGCCAGCAACCGGCTAGCCATGAAGGTAATTTACTCCTATGCAATTAGTCTTTGATTAGAGTGAAGTAGTTGGATTTGTAATGTGTACTTAAATTCGGAAACTAGGTTGAGAATAAGAAGACTTGTCCACGATCTCATTGTAATTCAAGAGAAATAACTGTGAGGTCACATTTCCTGGCTTATATGCACCCTCGCATATGGTGCAATTTTGTGTCATGTGTAATGGAAGTCCAGACCATATGTAATAAGAGTGTGATTTATGTACCGCGACTGTAAGATTAGTTGAAATATATATAAATTAATTTGGATATTCATATTAATAATAAAACAAATAATGTGATTTATATATCTTCAAAATCAGCTGCGTCATGCTTACATAATCCAGTGCTAAGTTTTTTCAGATAGTTTTTGGTTGGTACACGAGGAGATGAAGTGCTAGTTTGAACTTGTTTTTCAAATGAATTTTTATTTGAAAAAATATTAAATTAATTTTTTAAAAAATATTTATTGATAATTTTAATGCATTAATATTAAAAATAAAAAATAAAAACTAGAATATATTTTAATATACTTTTAATTAAAAAATATTTGTAAAAACCATTATATGCCCCATTATCAAACACAAAAAATAATAACATATTTTTATTTAAAAAATAAAAATTCACTTGAAAATTATTTAAAAAATAAATTTATCTTATTCATTCATCTCTTAAATTAAATATTATTTTATTTTATAAAGCAATTATCAAGTGACTGGGATTTATTAATGTGGTAATTATTTTGATAATATATAATGAATATCACTCTATGTTTTAAAAAAAAATAACAAATAAAACACACGGATATTTCTCAATGTAAACGTTGAGATTTATTGAATTCTCAAAAACATTTTCCTACTATAAAATCAAATGACTTTTCACGAAGTGTAAAGCAAATATTAAATTCTGAAAATTATAATATTGGTAGAAAATAAAAAGGCAAGCTGTCTGCGTTTCGTTTGACAAACACAGCAAAACGGCTAACATCAGGCTCGGCTCATTCATGTACGTGTGAAACACTTATACCAACTTTATGTGTGAACATCACGATAGCCGCAGATTAATCATCTGAACACAAAGGGACAAAATTAGGAAATACATGATCGAGAAAGATAATAAGACGTTAAGTATCAGACGATTTATCTGTATGATGTAGTTACACGCTAGATGTCTCACTCTCGCCTCCTTTCCTTCGGCATCTATTCAACCTCGGAGACTCCCTGCGAAGACGAAAGAAATTCACGAGAAAAATCAAACATTTCTGCTCTTATCCCTCTCTAGATTTACTCCCTCTGCAAATAATAATTCCTGGAATTTCTTCGTTAATTCCTCTTTCGATCCTTCTAACAATGGTACTGTTTTCAATTATCTTGTTAATGCATTTCTGCTTGATATCATGTTTATGATTGGTTTTTGACTTGGCAGATCCGGTTTATACTGCTGCAAAACAGACAAGGCAAGACTCGTCTCGCCAAATACTATGTTCCTCTCGAGGATTCCGAGAAGCACAAGGTCGAATACGAGGTTATGATCCTATTCATACTTTTTTCCTTTTGTTTTTTTTTTTGTTTTAGGTTTTTTTGATGATTTTTTTTTAAATAATTTGCAGGTTCATCGATTGGTTGTTAATAGAGATCCCAAATTCACGAATTTTGTTGAGGTAAGTGATTTCTGATTCCTTTTCAATATTTGAGCAAAATATTTGATAAAGAGAAGAAGCTAATTGTGAAACGGAAGCCTGTGCTTAAACAAGCTTTAATCCGATTGATTTGACTAGATGTGCTGAGGTTTTTCATTAATGAAAGCCATTAAAAATTGAACGTTTGATTGCTTTTCCCACAGTTAGTAATGGAATGGTTGTTTTAGTTTTACCTAAGGAATGTTTTGGTTGCAGTTTCGGACACACAAGGTCATATACAGGCGGTATGCTGGATTGTTTTTCGCATTGTGTGTCGACATAACTGATAATGAACTGGCTTATTTGGAGTGCATTCATTTATTTGTGGAGATATTGGATCATTTCTTTAGCAATGTGTGCGAGCTAGATTTGGTGTTTAACTTTCACAAGGTTTGTCACTTCTGCAATTTTTCCTTTTTGTTGTTTTGATACTTTGACTTTAACCATGGTCCTCTTTTCTCTTGAAATTCTGTGTGCGTTGCTTGCATAATTGATGTTTCCTTTTCCTGCTTGTGATCATTGCCTTTTGGTCAAGTTACCAGACCAATGACTTTATCACGAGTCCTTCAAAAGGAATTCACAGGCCTCGTATTGGTTCTGATGATTCCCCTCACATGCGCATGCTTTCATGCATGTGTGTGTGTTGCTATTGAGTAATGTGTTCTTTGCTGCTGTTTTTCTGATGTACTGCTTTGTTTGATTTTCTGTTTCCTCCAAGGTTTATCTGATACTTGATGAATTCATTCTTGCTGGGGAGCTTCAAGAAACAAGCAAGAGGGTGAGTATTTTCTGGAGTTTTATATCTTCCTGGCATATCCAGCTCATAGGGAAACAAGTTTTTGCCCATTTCACACTGACATGTATAGAGTGCATGGTCTTCAAACATGAAACTAATAGTCATTTGTAATGTGCAGGCAATCATAGAGAGAATGGGAGAGCTGGAGAAGCTGGAGTAAGCATCTGTTCTGCCGTGGAGTGTTTATGAGTGTCAATTTGGTCTTCCATTTTTTCCCTCCTGTGTTTGTGTGCCTTGTTCTTTATTGTTCAGCTGTTATTTCTTTACCCATTTTGCACAAGCCAGTTCTCACCTTGTAACATTACAGATTTTAGACAGAAATTGCTTCTTTTATCCTTCGTTTTCCATTGCCTCTGTGTCTCACTCTGCCTTTATGGAGTGAGTTTGTGTGAGGTTACTGCGGTGTTCATCTCATGTTCTTTCTTATAACATTCTGGATGTCTATAAACAATTTGCAATCGTCATCTTCTGAACTCGTTAAACTCGTTCAAATTGTACTTTTATTTCAAGTAGATGCCAGAGATTTAGGAGCTTAAAGCTGTGGCAGTTGCCCAACAGTGCTCAGGAAAACGAGGAAGAAGTGATGGATAGGTGAGAAGTTTGATAATGAATTTACCTAAGCAATAGCACAGTTTTCTTGGCCTGCCAATAATCTAGCAAAACACAACATTATGAAAAGGTTAAATCCTGAATTCTAAAAAGGAATAAATGCTCTCTGACAGCATGCCCATAAGCTCAAGATATTTTTTTGAAAATTGGAACTGGTTTTTTTTTTTTATTAATGGTAAAATAATATAGTTTGTAAAAAATTGATTAAATAGATATCATGGTTAAAAAACATAACATTTCAAAAAAAACAATTATGAAATTTAGCGCAAATATTAAAATAAAAAGGAAAGAAAAAAAATACTGGAAGTAAATTAAAGCGTTGATTATAACATTATTTGTATCATATATGAACGAGATGAATTGAACAGCATAAAAAAAAATCACCAAAAGTAAGTAATTTGAATGTTGAGTTTTCTAATTACAACATGTTCTAATTATTTTTCAAACTATATTATTTTATCAATCTAAATAAAAAACCGTGGTACCATAAGCTAGCTTACAGGATTGAGGGTACTCAAAAGAGACAACGACATTCTACAATTTCCTTTCTATTTAAATTTTCTTTGAAAATGATCAAGAAGTACTACATGTACTTGTAAAAAGGCAACAGTACTAAACGTCGTCACCACTTTATCAGCTAACTTCCCCTGCCTGCTGTCCTCCCCATTTCAATTTAACACCCGAGGATAACTTTGATGTTCATTCCCCATTTGATGGTGCCGAGGAATCACAGGTATTAACACACAGAATAAAATTATCTCACTGCTCATCTGATAGACAACAGCCTTCAGCCATCCCTTTCCCATTTCATAGGCTCTCGTTACAGAGTAATTGCAATGGCAGTGCACCACCAGTTCGAAACCCACCTCCAGTTTCTTCATAAACAGAAGAGAGATGGTGGTCTTGTCTTCTGACCCTGGCATGAGGCAATGTAGTAATGGTCATAAGCTGCTGCTGCTGAGAGATTTGAGCGTGCTTGGGACCAATTGCTTCTTGAGATGACGAAGTAGGGATGATGGTTTGGGCGAATGATTTCTGTGCAGGCGAGTCTTGCCTTCCATTTTGCCAGTTCGGAAATTGAGTCATAGCTGTGGAATTTCCAAGTGTCCTATATTGAGCTGCTGCTAACTGAGCTGCCCAAAGCCGGTTTTGTTGGTGCTGGTGATGCTGCAGCTGCTGCTGCTGTTGGTTCTGTTTCTGCTGCTGCTGTTGTTGGTTCTGTTTCTGTTGCTGCTTTGTGAAGCCCGTAGGACTTGCACGAGTACCACAGTACAAGTTGCCAAGGTAGGAGGGTTGTTGAATCTGGGCCTAGATCAAGAATTGCGCCATAAGTTGGCATATGACTCGAAAGTCAACTCAGTAACTCAATCAGGATTTGACTAAATCATGTATAGATGTAGTAGAATTTAGTGAGAATTTGGAGACCACAGATAACTCAGGAAAGGGTAAGGAAAAAATAAGATCATGTTGAAAATAAGATCACCGGTTGGCTGGCTCCCTATGTTCACTAAAACTACACTTCCTTGGCATCCCCATTTAATGGATGTAATATTGACTAGAATAGAGGGAGAGTTTCAAAACCATCTGTTCAATTTGTTGTTGAATCATCAATGTAAATGCATTACATGCAATCTAAGAGACAAGGATAAAAACCTGCTGTGCTGCTGCAGGCTGATCAGGGTGAGATGAGGATGAGTAATATGTTTGGGACATAGGGAAAGGCACGAGTGTGGAATGTTGCTGTTGCAAATGTGAGTGCAGGTAAGGAAATTGCAGCTGAGCCGATTGTTCAGACCTCTTTTCAACCCCACTGAAACTGTTATTAGCTTCTAAGCCGCTCCCACCAGTTGACAAGGACAAGAAATTGAAAGTCTGCAAGAGAATACAAATTGATGAAAACCAGTCAGAAAATATTAAACCAAAGCTAAATTGACATAACTAAATTTACCTGCTTATGAGAATTGTGCGCCCCAGATGCTGATGAAGTCTGTGGCTGATCTTGGAGTGTTCGCTGTAGAAGAGTACCCATTTCAACTTGATTTGAATTCTTGTCAACCATGTTAATTATGGCTCTAGCAGATGTAGCTCCATTCAAACCATTCCTGTTGCCATTGAGGTCGTTCATTGTCATGAATGCACCTTGCCTTAATATATCTTGTGGCCTCGGTTCATTCAGATGTCGCGGCAAGCTGTCTTTGCTCTCTGGAATTTGTAAAACCCGAATGAGATGACTTATGTAAACATGAGTTGTGGACCTCTTCAATGATCTTTTATCGGTGCTGACTTTAGAAACCTGTACAAGTCACAGTCCGTAAGATAAACCGGTCATTAAGTTTGGAGCAACCAATTCATGTGGGCAAGAGAAATAATCATTAGACTCAAGTCTTCTATCACCTTTCCAATAGACGAACAATTCTGGAATGAATTGGGCCTGGTAGCACCAAGAGCAGTATCCATCCAAGAAGGAAATTTGGTAGCAGAGGATCTGAGATAGGGAAAACTGAATGACAAATTGCAAAGGCATGGATGCTGTAAATGTACAAGATCAAAGGCATGGAAGAAAATTACTGTGATGAAGAACCATGATTGCATGCACCACTTGATACAGTTGAAGACAAACCTGGCCACAATGCTGGACCTTCAAATGAAAAAAAAAAAAAAATCAATTATTTAATGAAGTCATAACATGACAAAAATAATCTAATATCAAAGCTATTTCAAGTACATATGAGATGATAATTTCCCAGGAGCATAAGTTCTACCATTGTTCTTGGATTGACAGATTGTGTGCCGTTGATCTAGTTGACTTACAGTTGTTGTCAGCCCCAATGCAATGTCTGGCTTTCTCTCAAGTGAGGTCTCCAGCCGTGTGGAGTGCTTCACGTTGCTGCAAGCTCAAATGTAACGAATAAATAAACAAATGCCTTGAAGCTATAAATAAAGAAATGTACTTAACATAACCACAAAATGAAAAAGGAAAAAGAAAAGCATACGGAGTATTTCGGTATTGCTCAGGGGCAATGAAAAGATTGACGGAATTGCACAATGACTTTAGCTCCTCCTGTTTAGCCAAAATAGGGGGCAGATTCATTTGAGCAACACGACTGCCTAATTCACCTTGGATTTTATCAGTGGGCAAATAAGGTCGTTCTTGAGCACTAGGCTTGTTCAAATAATCAACTTTAGGAGTTTCGTCGAGCAATGTTTTCTCAGCAGCCTCGTCAATTCTCGGAAGGGAAATTAGATTCAAGTCCTCTTTTACAGCTACAGAATTCCATAAATAACATACTTACAACACAAAAGGTACAACAACAAAAAAATGGAGAAAAAACACAAAAAGAATCTTCAAAATCAGGGGTATTAGTCTCACTGGGCTCTTGCAATGTTGAAGGACTTGCATCCAAAGAAGTATCATCCAATTTACAGTCATTTTTAGGTTCTTCGGTGTCAGCGAACATTCCTGCCAAAGAATATAAGGTCTCCACAACTTCTTCCTCGTCTTTGGTTATTGGCCCACAGACACTCTGTTCTCGTGACCAGTCTGAGCTTGGTTGTTTCTACAAAAGCATTTTTAGCTCTATATAAATTAAAGTGCTTAATGCAAAAGGAAATGGAACTTAAGAACTGACACTGGGATCTAGATATAACCACATTCAGTCTCGATTTCTTTAAACCATCCCTTTTGGGTGATTCCACTCCACTGTTGGGGTTGTTCAGCTTCTTTGAATCAGGAACATGTGGAGAGATAGATTCGCGACTGCGCTTCTTCATGGCTGAGAATGAAAATGGTCATATATCCACAGAATTAAATCCACCAAAATCCTGAAGAACTGATATTTAATTTATTGCTTATTCAGGAAAAGAGAAATGAAAGAAACTTTTCTGATTCGTAAAAATGCTGAAAGTATCTCCCTCGGAAAAGCAAGCTTGAGAATAATAAAGAACAAAAAGAAAATCCCAAACACAATAATATAAAAAACTACTTGAAAAGATTCGATACACCATGAAAGTGGAAGCATCAACATAATAAATAGCGTTAAAAAGGACAGCACAGAGAATCTTGCTTCCATAAAAAGAAAAGAAAAGGCAAGAAGCTCCGGTTTTGCTTCAGCTCTAATCCAAAATTCACTATGCCAAAAACAAAACAAAACCATTCGGGGAAAAAAAAAGAAAAAAGAAGAAACTTCCAAGAAATACCCACCACCAAAAAACACTTGATATCAAAAACCAGACATCCAACCAAATAGCCAAAAAACCCCCAAGAAAAATGAAAAAGCATTCAATTTCTGAATTGACAAACGAAACATCACACACCTGACCGTAGCTTCCTTGGAACAGTTGCATGATCAGCACCATCGCAATCATCCAAAAACTGCTTTGGAATTCAACCAAAACATTAGAAAAGAAAACGAAATTATGAGTGAAATTCGTACAGCAAAAAAAAAAGGTAAAATTCAAACAGGAATCTAATTAATGAAAAGAAAAGAAAAAACGAAATTACCAAGTAAAATCCGTACAAAAAAAGAAAAAAGAAGTAAACTTCAAACAGAAAACTAATTAATGAAAAGCAACCAACTCATAATTAATGGACTTACCTTTCTAGGAAGCTTGAATCTCTCGTTGCTAGTACTAGCAACACCAATAAAAGTAGAAGGTGCTTGAACTTCTTTGTCAGACTCCTCACAACCACCACCACCCATCTCACACTTCTTTTCTTTCTCCACCTCGTAACTACAACTCCCTTTATTGATATTATTATTAACAGCTCTCAATCTTTTAATTCTCTTCGATTTCTCCAAAGAAACAACGACGTCACCACCATTCGAACCTTAAAAAAATCATAAAAAATAAGAGACCAGATA